TTTGGAGATTTCATTCACAAAGATACTTGCTTGTTTTAGAGAGCTAAATAGCAATTTCTCCTTTTTTGACTTTACACAAACACGCATGCGCTCGCGCGCGCGCGCGCGCGCACACACACACACACACACACACACACACACACACACTGTGCTGGGGAAATGAACCCAGGGTCCTGCACGTTCAAGGCAAGCACTCTACCATTTAGCTATACTCTCAGTCCTTTGTATTACTTTGATTGCGTCTGAAGTGGGAGGTTTCCCCAAAGTATGTCATTGCTTTGTGTTTGGTTTTGTGAAGATTGTTTCTTCCAGGATGTTGTCCATCTGTCTCTCAAGACCTTATTGATTTTCCTTGTGGATTTGTAGTAGTTCCTTTAAAAGAGTTCCTTATGTATAAAATCTACTTGTTTTAAAACATGTTTTTTACTTTAACTTTTAATTTATCTCTTTTATGTATATAGAAATGTAACATTTAAAAATATTTTGCTGTAAGTCTTTCCTGGTATGCTTTTTTCCACTGATATTATGCACAGATATCCCTCCCTCTTCAGAGAGGTGATAAATATTCGCCAAATTTGCATATGCTATTCATCACTTTACAGAATTTGACTGGCATTACCTAGTGTTACAGTACAATACAAGCCCTTATCCAGATTTTTGAACAAAATAATTAGGGCCACTAAAAGGATTACAGGATAGAATTTTCAGTGCCCCTTTAAGCTCCAAATGTTGACAGATTGTATTCTGCATCTTCATGGGACAATCTTGATGGTAACTGAGGGGCAGCAGAAGGGGCAGGTTCTGCATAAACCCTACTTCTAAGGCTGTTTCCTAGAGGAGAAAATGATTCATTTTACTGAGACTCTGTTCATTGGATCCTCAGCTGTCTCAGTGTAGCAGGGACCTGAATTTGACATCTTGAGAATTTTCACTTATCTTTTATGAACTCAAAAGATTTATGGGAAAAAAAATTGAGTGCTTTGCTGCGGCATCTGGATAAGGGCTTGTATTGTACTGCTCACATACTGGTAGGTGGCTTCATGTTTTGGGGAGGGGGGGCTTCTTCTTAAGAATAATTTCCTGCTGGGTGTACACACCTGTAATCCCAGCGACTCTGGAGGCTGAGGCAGGAGGATCACAGGTTCAAAGCCAGCCTCAGCAATTTAGCGAGGCCCTAAGCAACTTATCCAGACCTTGTCTCAAAATTAAAAAAAAAAAATTTAAAAGGGCTGGGTGGGGATGTGGCTCAGTGGTAAAGCTCCACTGGGCTCAATCTCCTGTACCAAAGATGATGATGATGATGATGATGATGATGAGGAGGAGGAGGAGGAGGAGGAGGAGGAGGGAGAGCCTACCACAATGACCATAAGGCTGCAGATTTCTGTCAATGATGATGGTAAAGGGCAGGCAGCCCCTTCAAGGTTTGAAGCTCAGTTATTGAGGCTGCAACTGAGAGTCTGAGATCTTAATCTGGAGGTTTTCTTTTCTTAACATTGTCTTGATTTAAAAAGTCTGGGGTTCGCTTCTCTTTTATGAGTTTGCTTCAGTCTTGAAAGCATTGCAGATTTCTTTTTCCTTCCTTTGAACCTACGGGAGGGAGGCACGGCCACTGCGCCGCTCCACTGATGACCACTAGAGGGAGACCCAAGTGCTTCCTCCTCCGCTCTTGCTCCTGTGGACCTCGAAGGACTGACTTTCAATCTTCCTCCCGCTGGGGGCGCCCGAGAGGCCTGGAAGAAGACAGGGGCTTTTCCAGCCAGGCCTTTCAGGTTCAGAGGGTGGGAAGGAAGAGTGCACCTTCCTCATGCCAAAAAGGCCTTCCTTCTTTGTGGGTATTGCTCACTAGTTTTCCCTCATTAAGTCTGTAGCCTTATTTTTAAGTGATTTGGAAAACAGAACATTTTAAAATAGATTTTTGTAGTATTCCAGAACCTCAAATGCCTTTTTTGCAAAATGCTTCCCTCACAATGTCTGGGACTCTAAGATAATTTTAAACATCTGAAAAGTACCAGGTTTGTATAGAAGAGAGCTCTCCTATTGGGAGTCCTAAAGAATTGTAAGAATCCTCCAAGGAGGCCTGGCCAGGGTGTTCTGCAACCCTGAGATGCATCAGTAAAGAAGGCAGAACTCTGTGCTAGTTGATGGGGAGACAGTTTTCTGTAGGAATTTTTAGATTTTTAGATCTGCTTAAAATTGGGAAATGCTGTCTGGGGCAGGGCTCAAGGGTCTGCAGCAGTGGAGTGGGGGGCTCAGTAGCAGAGCACTTACCCAGCATGTATGAGGCCCTTTTCTGTCTACAGAACTAAAAAAGAAAATAAAAACAAAAACAAAAATAATCTGGCACTGTATTGAGAGTTCAGGCAGTTTTGATGTGGTGGGTCAAGTTATCGCCAGCTCCGAGAGAGCTGAGGGGACGTGTATTGCCCTTTGAGGGCCGGGTGAAGGGCAATTGATCTATTTTATGCATTAGCTCACATGGATTCCACCCTCCCTGGTACTGAGAATTGAACCCAGGGCCTCGCACATGCTAGGCCAGCCCTCTACCAATGAGCCATGTTCCCAGCCATTTTAAAATTTCGAGACAGGGTCACTAAATCGCCTAGGCTCAGCTTAAACTTGTAGTCCTGCCTTCTCAGCCTCCCAAGTAACTGGAATTACAGGAGTGTGCCACCATGCCTGGCTCATGTTGACTTTACTGTGCTGAGTGCTTGATTATTGCTTGTATTACTTTATGAGTATTTATATAATGTCTATAAGATCATATATTTCAAGGCATGCTCCTACTCTGAGTAAATAAATAGAAAGCTTTAGAAATATATATTGAACAATTATCAATTACTAAGCAGCAATTCATTTGTGAAATTATATCATCATTTTATCAAAGGACCCACCTGATTCCATTAAATGTCTTTGTCTGATTTGCTTAACAAGGTCTTTCCCAAGAACATCCTGCTCTGTAAAGCAGAAGAATTATACAGTTGTTCCAGAGTCCAGTGGTTTATATTTGGTTTTCATTTGTGCCATGAGTCCAATAACAAGTTGTGGCTCTTCATTCCAAAATCAGTGATAAAAGTTTGGGTATTTAGCTGGGTGCAGTGGTGCATACCTGAAACCCAGTGACTAAGGAGGCTGAGTCAGGAGGATCACAAGTCTAAGGCCAGCTTCAACAACTTATCGAGGGAGGCCCTGAGCAATTTAGTGAGACCCTGTCTCAGAATAAAACATTAAAAGGGATGGGGTTAAGTGTCCCTGAGTACAATTCCCAGTACCTAAAACAAACAAACAAAACACACACACACACGCACACACACAGAGTTTAGACACTTATTATCTATTCCTGGACACAAAGGGAGTTTTGAGCCTGCTGGAATCTATAAACACTGATATATTTGCTTCTTTCCCCTCTAAGCCAGATCTTGTTTATATGTGACCGAGGACACCTCTGGGTTTTTCATTGCGTAGCTTCTGCTGTCTTCATGCTGTTCTGTTAGCCTCCTTGAACAAGTGTTACCACCTAACATTTATCCAGACTTTCAGGACAACAATCCAGGGGATCTCTCTATGCCCACTGGGAAATATCAAGACTTAGACTTTAGGGCATCAAGACTTTCTTTTCCCTCTGAGAAGGGGTAGCATATAGAGAGCTCATGATCTTTTGGCAGGAGGTATTTACTTGATTTCTGTGGATGCAGAATGAGGGGTCTTGCTCTTATTCACCGAGCAGTGTCAGGCGGGTTTCCATGCATGTTATGTCATTCCCTCACCAGAACCTCTGACATCCCCACCATTTTATAGATGAGGACTTTGAGGCTTAGAGGAGAAAGGAGGTAAGTTGCTCTGGGTTCCATGTTAGATCAGAGGTAAAGCCTATTACAGGACAAGGTCTGGGGGCTCTAGAGCTTCCCTTCTTAGCTACAAGCCATCACCATGCTCCAGCCAAGAGAGCAAGCAGGCCTGGAGTGTGTCCTTGATGGTGCCATTCATACCAGGTACCTAATTTACAGGACGCCTCTTAGTAAACCTCTGTCCCTCACTACAGCCCCAACGTCTCAAGATGGAAACACCACAGAGCTTACGTCTTTGAGTCACCTGGGCCACATTCTAAGCCCCAGCTGGGGGACAGATCTCTGGTTATGAGCTGTGTAGGCCAAAGCGAGTGGTTGCTTGATTCAGCCAGGTAACGGACACCAGGAAGAGCTGGCCCAATGACAACCTCGCCAAGTGTGTTTGCTTTTTAGGGTTTTCAGGTGCTTTCTTTCATCTGTCTTTGATGATCTGTCTGTTGAGAGGGTATCTGTTTTCAGTAGAATCTATCTACCTGTGTTGATTTGTCCCATTTAGGAAAGAGAAATTTTATTTTAATGCAGATATTGATAATGTTGAGGGAACAGAGTGTGAAGTTCAGAGAACTCAAATAAAAGAATGATGGATAATGCTGGGATTTGAGGGAGCTGCTCTTCTTGCTGTGGCTTTGAACTGATTGAGAAGGTGAAAGAGTGAGTGGTAGGAAGGCTACGTATGCCTTTTGTCATAGAGAAGAGCATGCTGGGAATGGGGTTCAGAACTACAGCAAGTGGGGTTCCTGACGATGCCTTCAGCATCAGGCTGAGGCTCCCAGGCCTCCAGGTCGCGGGCAGCTCTGGGCTGAGGCTGGGCCTCCCGCTCTGGACCCAGCTGGTGTGTGGAAGCCCAGCACCTGGAGCAGCCTGCTCCAGACTGGGGGAGCCACTTGTTGTCTGTCCAGATTCTCCAGTCACTTGAGTTACACTGTCATTCCAGTGTTGGAAGGAGGGAGGGGACAGAATACAGCCAGGAGTGTGGCCCTAGAGGAGGTGAAAGAAACCTCAGGAAAAGGGAAGAGATAGTCTCCTAAAAATGGGAAGAAGAATTGAATCCTCCATCTCCCTCTTTGGGAATGTATCTGATATTTATATTTAATGTCTAGAAATATGCCGGCAGAGCTGTGAATTAACGTGCTTTTGTTCCGTTTGCCTTTCTAGATTCTTGACTATCAGAACACCACGTTCTTTGGTGGGGACCACATATCCATGATCGATTACCTCCTCTGGCCCTGGTTTGAGCGGCTGGATGTGTATGGGATAGCTGAGTAAGACCCTCCACCATGTGGTGGCAAATACACTGAGTGACAATGTTTGAGATGGTCTATGTGCCAGTACCTCCCCTTGTGGGGGCGTCCCAGGATGTATAAAACCAAAGCAGGTTTTCAAGCCACCCATGTGTGTGTCCTTGTTCCAAATGCACCTGGGCTTTCCTCCCACCACCTGCAGACTCAGGTGTTGCTTGCATCTCTGTGGGGAGACCCTGTATGCAAAAGCCTCCTGTAGCGCTTCACAGCCTGCTGTCCTGCCCAGTCCATCTGGTCCTGCTGCATTGCCCAGCAGATACCACACACCCGAGTTACATCTCATGTCTATGAGGAATCTTCCCCCAGATAGGAATATCATTTTTATTTATTAATATATTTTTAATATCTTTATTTTATTTAATTTTTTTAATGTGGTGCTGAGGTTTGAACCCAGTGCCTCACGTGTGCTAGGCGAGCACTCTACCACTAAGCCACAACCCCAGCCCAGGAATATAATTTTTAAAAGGAACACCTGATTAATGTTTAAATGCATGTACAAAATCACAACCACATCCCACAGAAGGGTAGGGATGTTTAAGGCCAAAGAAATAATAGCTCTGTAGCATCCTGAGCAGAACACAGGCTTTGTCACCCCAAAGCTCAGAGAGATGTTGGATAGGCTTAGGACTCATGTTAATCCTGCCAGATGCAGGGAGGGTGCTGGACATTTCTGATGTTTGGAAATCAGTAACATAACCAACTTGGATATTCAAACTCAACTCCAACATGTAAACGATAAGAACCTGTCTCCTCCAAAGACAGAGCATTGAATTCTAGATCAGGAAGGTTCACCATCAGTCCTGGACTGTCCCTAGCCAAATGTTACCATAGTATGTCACCCTGCATGCCCTCGACCTAAATTCCGTGATCCATCTTTAGAGGGCCTGTTTTCGTCAGCTCTTTTGCTGCTGTGACTAAAGGATCCGACCAGCATAACTGTAGAGGAGGAAGAATTTATTTGAGGACTCTTGGTTTCAGAGGTCTTAGTCCATAGAAGGCCAGCTCCATTCCTCAGGGCTCGAGGTGAGGCAGGACATCATGATGTAAGAGTGTAGCAGAGAGAAGCAACTCACATGGTGATCCAGAAGCAGAGAGAGAGAGAGAGAGAGACTTCACTTTCTAGATACAAATATATACACCAAGGCCATGTCCCAATTCCCACCTCCTCCAGCCACACCCCACCACTTCAGTTAATCCCTATCAGGGGGATTAAATCACTGATTGGGTTAAGACTCTTACAACCCAATCACTTCTCCTCTGAACCTTCTTGTACTGTCTCCCACATGAGCATTTGGGGACCCCTCACATCCAAACCATAACAGGGCCCTCAGTATCTCCATGATTTCAAGTCTCAGGATTGTTTTATTCACTTAAAAAGTATTTTTGGAAACTACTGTTTTTATCTTTTTCAAACTCCCTGAAGTAAAATCTGCAAATGACCTAAGAATGTTTTCTATTTTTTGTTAGTAAACAAGGAAATAGACACTTTATTTCCCCAGAGCCTCAGTCCACAAGTATCCCCCTGGATTATTAGAAGCAACAGATTCTGCAATTCCAAAACGTGTACAACTATTTAAAAAAGAAAATTTTTCTTCAGTTAAGTGATTATGTTCACTTTAAATATGATAACTGTACTAACCATATTCCCCCAAGAAACTCATTTTTCTGCTTTCTTGCAAACTTAAAAGGCAATAATAAGTGTCCCTCTTCCCAGTGTCTTCCCTGTGGGACGTGCTGACCCTTCTTTCCTGTCTTGCAGTTGTGTGAATCACACCCCAACGTTACGGCTCTGGATATCAGCTATGAAGCAGGACCCCACAGTCTGTGCTCTGCTCATGGATAAGAACGTTTTCCTGGGCTTCTTGAATCTCTATTTCCAGAACAACCCTAACGCCTTTGATTTTGGACTAATTTGCTGAGGGTCATGGTCCCCCATTCAACACCCAGAATTCCCAGCGCTTTGTGATTCTGCATCAGGGATTGTCTCAGGAGTCAATCCGTCTCTCTTCCTTTTCTTTGAGGTTCCCAATAAAAATGGAAACAGAAAATGTATTCTTTCTGGTAATCATTTGTCTGACTTCTCTAGCCTGTAGCTTCTAATGATTCTCCAGAAGGTGCCCAACCCTGATGTCCTAGTGCATTTTGGGAGCAAGTGTGTCTCTCAGATTCTTGGCCTTTGGTGCAATTGGATCTCCAGATTATTGGTGACAGTGCTGATATTGGTGTTCAGGGCCTGCCTAGGATGGACGTTTGTCACTGCAGATGGGCACCTTCTCAAAATCTCCCTGGTGAGAGGAAATCTTGAGAAGAAGGAGGGGAAGAAGAAAACACTCCAAATCCAAATACCCTCCTTTGGACAAGTGAATGCTGCCATCCCTATGGGCGGGCACGAGTGCCTGTCATTCTGTTCAAACTTTGGCCATGGGCCTGGGAGACACGGAGGGTCTTGTGACTGGAAAGAATTCCAAAGCAGGAAATGAAACACCCGTTTATCACTCTGGGCTAAGTACGTCAGAATTTCACTGTCATGGCTCGGGATGTCTCACCAAATGTTCTGTAACCAGCATCCTGTAGCAAAAAACGTACACACCCCAAGTCACGGGTAAAGGTCACTCTGTTGGATTTGCGTCACGTACTCTTTCAATCTGTCCCAACAGATGCCTCCATTTGCCTATTGGGTATCAAGCTCAGGGTCACGTGAAGGATACAGTTGGCAAAGATGTGGGCCCTGCTCCCCACCTCAGGAGCCCCTCACCTGTCCGCCATCTTGGTGGAGGGTTTACCCTGGAGCTTTGGAGCTGCTTCTTTTGCAGTGAGAGGCTCTGGCTTGGCCCCACCAGAGATTTGCACAAAGACAATGAGAGCTGAGGATGCTGGGGGCACCAGCAGTTGCCCTCTGCTGGGAGTGTCCATCGCCTCCCCCGGAGGAGGGAGGCTGAGACTGTCCAGTGTTATTTGTCGAAGCTTCTGATGTTTTTGGCTTGGCTCCTGCTCAGTTTGTTCCCCAGCCTCCCAGACGAGCTGAGGCCAGGCAGCAGCGTGTGTGAGGTTTTGACTTGTTCCTGCCCCCTCAGGAGCTGTCCGCTGTTCCTGCCTCTGACTCAGCCCAAACCAGCCCTCCCCTCTTCCCACATCTCGGCTGGGCCCTGCCATCTGCTGGCTCTGGGCATATTTTGCCCCGTGTACATAGTTACCAGGAGTCACTCCCTGCCTGCTGGACAGAGGCAAGCCTGCTTGGAGAGGCGGCCTGGCCTGCCAGAAGAGGTGCCACATGACAGGCAGTCGGCACTACCATGTGCTCTGAAGGGCCTCGTTGCCATGGCACCTGAGCGAATGCAGAGTGGAGCGTGTGAATCAGTGTTTCCCGGGATCTGTGCTTGGGAACAGGGGCATCATCTCCCGTGGCCTCTCCTGGACTCAGGGGACTGATCAGCCTTTGCAGATATAAATCGCCCTCACTGGTGACTCTTTGGCATGGGACCGCAATTGCTTTTGATGTCACCAAAAATGGCATTTTCTGGGTGACCAAAATGAAGGTGGTCTCTTTCAGGATCCCACGTACTACTAATATAGAAAACTCGAAGAGCCTGGAAATAAAGGATGGATAAAAGTACTTTGGGGGAAAGATTGCTGGCTGGTGGCCCACGGCCCTGCTTGGGGTCTGAGTGCCCCCGGGCAGGTTGCCAAGGTCCTGGTCACATGCCCTGCCCTATACTTCCTCCTTATTTCTTTATGTCATTGGACTGACATACAGAGAAACCAAGTCATCGACCTCCGGATGAAGCTAAGAGGACGTGGAAAGAGGGCAGAGCAACTGAAGGGTGCTACGGAGAGCTCGTGAGCGGGGAGGGCAGAGACAAAACAGAGGCCAAAAACACAATAATGTCAACAATAGGACATCTGTGATCTTAAGTCCAGAGAGAACCACATTTAACATCGTGTGCGTGTCTCACAAGGAGCATTTTAACCTCAGGATTCAAGAGGTTATCTTTATCTTTGCAAGAGATAAAGCTCACCCTGGAAAAGGGGAAAATGAGTTGCAACCACAGTTCTGGAAAAACGTCGGGTCACAAAGGATGATAACATCAGAACGCACAACCAGAGCAGGTTGTGGGGTCTTCCTGGGAGGGTCTGAGTGGAGCCTGGCCTCCACTGAGCCTAGTTATATTCCAAAAGCTACCATAAGAAGCAGGTATTGGGATGAATAAAGAGGAAATATATAATGATAGGGGCAAGAGGTGTTTTAGAAATTTCATTCTATGTTGAAACTCATCTTTGACTTCCCTTAATGCTAGTTGATTGACCAAATGTCTCCTTGCCTCTTCCCGAGCTTTTTTTTTTTTTTAACCAGGGATTGAACCCAGGGGTGCTCTACCACTGAGTCCCACCCTCAGCCCTTTGCTTTAACATTTTATTTTGAGACAGGCACTCACTAAATTGCTCAGGGTCTCGCTAAATTGCTGAAACTGACCTTGAACTTGCAATCCTCCTGCCTCAGCCTCCTGAGCCACTGGGATTATAGGCGTGCGCTACCATGGCCAGCTAAAAATTTCATTCTAAAGTAATGGTCATTGGCTGTTCATTTGCTAGTCAGAAAAGTCTTCTTTGGGGACTTTTTCTGAGCTACTGTCCCAAATGATCTAAAGGCAGAGAGAGGAAAAGCGTGGGGGGACCCACAGATGCCCTAGGTATGGGGGCAGCAGGGGTTGCTCACCTGGGAGCCAGGGGAAGGGTTTGCTGGGGTTTGGTTTCAGGTGTGAAGGTGGGAGCACAGGGTAGTCAGAGCAATAACACATCTTGTCTTTACTGAGTGCCTGCTGTATACAAGGGAGTCTACACACCTGACTTACTCCTCCGGATCTTGTGAGTCCTAATCATTCTATAGACGGGCGAACTGAGACTTGGAGGTGGATAACTTGCCCCAACGTCACGCAGCTAGCACCGTGCAGGGCTGGGATTTGTGTACTCCAGAGCCTGTGCCCTCAACCCCCAAGCTCCTCTGTCTTCCTGTCACCAGTAATCACCTTGCCTCTGTCTTTGTGACCTTCCTCTTCTGCTCCCCCTGGACCGGGGCCTTTCTCGAGCAGGACAATGCCCTCTTGACTTTGTTTCCCTCGTATCTGCTCAGTGCCTGGATGCAGGGCACACGGTGATGACACTCACTTGCTGTCTTGTGAGTGAGCGAATGCAGGGCACAGGACGAGATGGTCGCCTGGACAAACGGGTGTCCAGGGAGCCCCTCACGAGGCAGCTGTCACAGCCTCTGCCGTGTGAAGAAGAATCTGTGTCTCCAGAGCAGCAGGGGTGTCCTGCCAGGTACCCCAGCTCCGTCCGTCTGTCCTGACTACTGCAAATACTGGTCTGGGCTCTGGATGTTCTCCTGCAGCACAGAGCCTAGGAGAGCAGAGAAGTCGGAAGGGCCGAGGACAGAGCCCCTCATTATTCTCACAAACTGGGGGGCAATGCCCTAGACCCCTCCCCAGGAGGTCCACAAACATTTCTGAGCACCTGGCATGTGTCTGTCCCCAAAGGAGGTGTAGAGGAAACAGACCTCGCAGGTCCCACCCTGTGTGCCGAGGGAGTCCGGGGAAAGCAAGCGCTGGGGGCGCAGCCCTGACAGCCCTGGGGGAACCGGGAGGTGGGAATTGGCTGTGAGGAGCTCTGCTAAGTGCAAAGGTAACAATGAATGGAATGCTGTTTTGTTGTGGAGCTTATTTTTCTCCAGGCCCTAGCCTCAGTGATTTACACATGCACTTCCAGTCAGTCTCATGAAGTGGGTGGCATTATTCCCATTTTACTGTTGAGAAAACTGAGGTAACATCAACGCTTATAGAAATGAGGAGACTTGCTTGCAGTGCGGGGATGAGGCACCCCTGGGATTTGAACACGGAGCCTAAGCTCTCCGCTCCTGTGCCTTTTACATGTATCTGAAGCCTCTGTCTCACCGAGTAGACAGTGAGACCTCTGGGTCCTGTACAGGGGGAGTCCACCCTGGCCAGCTGTGAATAAAGCCAAGGGGAAGCAGGAAGTGGATCATTGCTTTCTGTTTCTATTTTACACTAACTTACCCTAATAGAAACCAAAAGTATCACTGACCAGTGGGTTTCAAAAAATCAGAGGGTACCAACCCCCCCCCCCCCCCCCCCCCCCCCCCCCGCTGCTCTCCCTGTCCTGAGAGCTTCGCTCAGCCCTTCTTCCTCCCAAGGACAGTAGCCATGCCTTGGAACATCTCTGAGGCCTGTGTGGGTCCATCTTGCTGGGAGATAATTTGTGGCTGATAATTTTATGTTCTGGTTTCTCTCTGGGGCTGTAGAGGGACACTGGAGTGATGACAAATGTGATTTCACCTATAAAGTAAGGCCTCACGTTGTGTAGGAGGAAACCAGCCAGCCCTGGGCTCAGGTGAGTGGAGTCCAGGCATTTGGAAGGCAATCAGGTGGCTTTGGTTTTCTTTGAGGAGGTGCTTCATATTTTGTGAGGGAGCTAAAACTGTGAGAGCTCAGACTCAAGGCGGACCCAGCTCTTCCCACAACCCTCGGGTGGCCTCTACTTCACTTCCAGTGACTACCACCCCTTCCTGGATCTCTGACTTATTCTGCAGCCATTGGTCTTGGCTTCCTAACAGACCCCGTTCCCTGGGCACGGAACCCCTGACTTCTTACCTCTGTTCCTCACCTAGTGCCTGACACCTGTTGCTCAGGGCTTGGCCGAATGCCTTTCCTTTACCCTGCAGCCTCGATTGCAGAAATCCCCGGCAATGGTTGCTTTTGACGGTATAAAGAGCTTGGTGGTGAATCTACCTGCAGCAAGTTGCTAAGTACAGGATACAGTGAGTACCAGGAGAGGAAGGGTCGCTTCAAAACAGGCCAAGTGCACAGAGATGTTTATAACAGCAAAAAAAAGTCTGGAGGCAGCTGAGTGATCCTCGGTAGGGGAGGCTGGTAAACTGAGGCCCAAGCACACATACAGAGTTGACAGTGAACAGCTATTTTAAAGAATAAGACAGCAAAATGTTCAAAAAGATGCCCAAGAAAAGTTAGATGGCATGCC